TGATACTTGTGCATTTACTTTTAGGTAGATCTGGGAAGCCTGTCATTCAACACATATTTGTCACCTACTATGCAGCTCATCATTACTGTGTGCAAAGCAAGTCTAAGTGCTTGTGAGAGATACACATTCTTATTTCCAAAATCTCACTTTTTATAGTGGGAACTTAAATGCACAGTTAAGGAAACTCATCTCCACTCCAATCTGTCCTCTACAGAGAAGCCACAGTGAATTGTAAAATCCAAAGGGGTCATTTTTCTGCTTCTAACCCTCCAGTTGCCCAAATGGAAATAGATAAAAACCTTTAAGAGAAGCCCACAGTGTTACACAGTCCATCATATTTGGCCCAGAGAAGCTTGTTGCTAATGCTTAGAACACACTACAAACCAAAAAGCCGACACGTTCACCAAGGTACACACAGTTTGTTCTCCTGTCCTATAAAATTATTTTAAAGGTAAAATCATGACTCTCATATAGATACAAAATAAACATGTGTTCAAAGATTTTTTTATTTTTCAATTACAGTTAACATTCAATATTATTTTATTTTAGTTTCAGTTGCACAGCATAGTGGTTAGATTTTATATAATTTACAATGTGATTCCCACAATAAGTCTAGTACCCACCTGGGTGAAAATGGTGAAGGGATGAAGAAGTACCAATTGGCAGTTATGAAATTGTCACAAGGAAGTTTAGTTTTTTTTTTATTATTATTATGGTTAAGAAACACATAATATTCGACCTACCCCCTTAAAATTTTTTTAAGTGTTCAGTATTATTAACTACAGGCACTGTGTTGTACAGCAGTCTATAGAACTTTTTCATTTTGCATAACTGAAACTGTATACCCATTGAACAGCAACTTCCCCCTTTTATTTAACTTATGAATGAAGTAACGACACAGAAGTGAAAGAAGCATAAATTTTTATGTAGTAAAGAAATGTTGAAGTGAATTTGAGAATGCATGTGAAATGGCTTGGTGGGGAGATTCAAGTGACCCTCCAGCAGAGCGAATGTATGTGTGTGTCTATGGACATGAACTATTTGCATTGTTGCTAGTTATGTACAAACTACAGCACTGAAAAATAGTTCAAAGGCAATAAAATGCTAGAGTCTGATAACCTTGGAAGCATGTGCTCTAGAGAATGTGTGGCTTTCCTTTAGAGAGAGCCAGTAAACTCATTTTGCATATTCTCAATTTCCTTACAATTCTTGAAGAAAATATTTATTGATCACCTAATAGCATGTTCCTAAACTGTGTGAATTCAGCAGTAAGAAGACCTTATATTTTAATAACAGGAAAGACAGGAAAATAATAATTAAATAGATTACATGTTATATTAATTGGTGATAAGGAGTTTGGAGAAAAACAAAGAAGGAAAGATATATAGAAAATATGGAATGGATTATATCCTTCAATATGTTGTTTGTGGATGTAACTGAGAACCTGACATTTGACTATGCACATGTATACACACACACCACAGACACTTACACACACACACACACACAAATCAGCTATGCACACAGAGAAAGAAAGCACAGACACACACACACACACACACACACACATACCTCAGACATGCACACCCAAAACAAAGAAACACACACAAATACACACACACCCCAGACACACACACATATACCTCAAACATATACATGGAGACCACAAACACACACAGGTATTTAGACACACACAACTCAAACATGAACACAAAGTCACATGGACACATACATACTTCAGATACACACATAGATACACACAGCAAACACACCAAGACCATGACCACACACACACACACCATAGGCACACACATAGAGACTCAGACATAAACACACATGCCACAAATACACAAACACTTACCATGGACACACACACACAGACACACAGAAACACCCACCCACACCACAGACACACACAACCGGCATCAGCCACCCTGGTCCTGGAATGGCTCCTCACGCCCGCAGCTTAGCCCTGGGAAGACCGGGACCTGGTTCTCAGGCCATCTAGTCCCAGCGTCCCCGTGGGAGGGAAGGTCAGGGATGCTCAGGCTCTAGGCCACTCTCTGCCATTTGGGTGACCTCTCCATTCTCAGTGCCCACCTCCCCGCCCACTGATGCCACCATCCCTGTCCCCATGGCCTCACCACCCCACCTGCTGCCCTGTGTCCAGAGCCACAGTTGTATCCAATTCAGACCAACCATGCGGAATGGACAGGGAAGGTGGGAACACCTGTCGGCCTTTGGAAGGACTGAGGCATGAACCAGGACAGGTGAGAAGGAAAGGGACTCACCTGAGAGGACTGGGGAGCACAGAAGCAGGGAGCAAGGACAGGTGGGCTCTGGGCTCAAAGGCAGAGTGGGAGTCCGGAGCACTGCTAAGTTCCCTGAAGCTCCCCTCAATCCTGCTCTGAGGCCCGTGGGGTTGTGGCTGGAGCTCACTGGACACACGGAGAGCCCCTCGGGGTGTCTGCGAAGCCTTCCTATGCTACTGGGCCCGCATTTGGGCACTCCAGCCCCTGCCCAGACTCCAGGCTCCCGAGGGAGCTCCTGAGGTGTCTTCCTAAAAACCTGTGTGTTGCTGAAGGGACCCAGGCAGGAGGAACCAGGGTCCCCTGCATGGGGCAGCAGTGAGCTCTGATGCCTGCACAGCTCATTGGGTGGCTCAGCTATCACCTCCTTTCCCAAAAGAGGATGAAGAGAAAGAGGAGGAGGAAGAGAAGGAAGGGGGGATAAGGATAAAGAAAGAGAGAAGGAGGAGGAGATACGGGGAGCAGGAGGAGGGTGAGAGGAAGAGGAGGAGGAGGATGGGGAAGAGGAGGGAATAGGAGGGAGGATTTCCTTGGATCCGGAGCAAAGGGCTGAGGGACTGACCGAGGCAAAGGGCTGCTGCTCTCTGGAATGGGGTGAAGTTATTCCCCAGACAACCCTGCTCACCTTGCACCTCCCAGCTCACCTGTTCCTTCCTCTAAGCACATCCCCACTCCCCCCTGAGGATCCCCCAGCCCCGCGGTCCCCACTGCATCAATTCTGACCTCACCAGGCTGTGACTGTCTCTGCTCCCTGTCCCCTGTCTGCCTGGCCAGTGCTCCCCCAGGGTCGGCCTCACCTCAACCCAGCCCACAGGGCACTCGCTCAGCAGGTGGGAGACAGGTGCCTGTTGTGCAGGAGCAGCGACGGGCTCAGCCAGCAGAGGGACCAGCCTGAGCAGAAGCTGCAGAGCCTGTCCAGTCCCAGGGAGAGGAGGGAAAGTGTGGCCAGTGAAGTACCAGCCTTGAGAGAGCGGAGCTGGGGTGAGAGGAGCCCAGAGGTTTCCTCCATCACCAAAGCTTTCCCTTCCCTTTCTCATCCCATCCTCAAGGCGGCCCCATCTTACAGAATGGCCACTGTGTGGGCTGTGTCCCCTGTGGGCCAGACCAGGCTATTCCGAGCACTTGTATGAACACAGTAATCTTCTTGGCAACCCCATGTGTTGTCACTCGGATGGTCATAACAAAGCATCACAGACCGGGCAGGTTAAACAACAGAAATTCATTTTCTCACAGTTCTGGGGGCTGGAAGTCTGAGATTAAGGCGTCAGCAGAGCTGGTTCCTTCTGAGGCCTCTCTACGTGGCTTACAGGTGGTCATCTTCTCTGTGTCACCAAGTGGTCTCCCCTCTGTGCGTATCTGTGTCTTAATCTCTTCTTATGAGGACACCAGTTCTGTTGGTTTAGACCCCACCCTACTGACCTCATTTACCTTAATCTCCTCTTTGAAGACCCTGTCTCCAACTTCAGCCCATAACACCCCATGGGCATAGGCACCCGACTGTGCACAGAGTGATTAAGCCGCTTCCCAAGGCAGCACAGTGAGCACCAAGGAGCAGGCTGGAGTCCAGGGCTGTCTGGCTACAGAGCCCGCACCCCCACCCCCTTATTGGGGGCCTCAAATGAAGAAGCCCCAGACCGGGGCTGACCACCAGGAGCTCTCACTGAGATCAGGACCCAGAATGACCACTGGGGAAGGGGCAGGGCCAGACACTTCACCTGCAAGACAGCCACAATGGCATCTGCAAAAATGCCCACCCCGATCCTTGCAGAAGATTTTTCCACACACAAGCGTTGAGAATTGTGATGCCTCCGTGTGACAGATGAGGAAACTGAGGTTTGGAGGGAGAAGAGCCAGCCTACTGGGCTCCAAACCCAGGGTTTCCCCCAGTGTCATGCTGCGCTGGCATCTTGCTCTGAGTGCTTGGCTTTCAGTCCTTTGCAGTGAACACTAGGCATGCCTTGCTGGGGGCTGCACAGGTGAAGAAGCCCAGGACCACCTGAGGGCATGTCCTGGTGATGCACAGGGAGTCCTGGCGCTGTCATCCCTGGCCCTTCCTAGCTGGGAACTCACCATGAAGCTGCACAGAGCCACCAGGTTTCCATGAGTCCCTGCCTGCACTCCCACCATCACACCCTATGCTGCCAGAAGCCTGAGTGGCTGGGGGCTTCTCTGCCTCTTGAGGGGTCAGGAACATTCTCAAGGACAGAGGCGGAGGCTGCCATAGCCTCCCCTTCCACTCCACATCCCTAAGGAGTAGATGCTCTGATTGGTCTGTCGCATTCATTCATTCATCTGATCATTCATCACCACCTCTCTGAGCCAGGAGGGACCTATCCCATCTTTTATGCCTTGTGGCTCCCCTGCCAAACCCTCCTGATTCTCACACTCACAGGACTGACCCATCGTGCCATTTAGAATCTGTGACTGGACCAGCAGTGCCTGCTTTCCAGGACAAGCGGTGGGGAAGGGACCAGCTTAGGACAGGGATGTAGGAGTGGCAGGTTGAGTCCTCCTTGCATGTGGGGCCCTCATCGGAACCCCATCTGGAAAGTGAAAGTGCTTCTTCTCTAAGGGCCGGGCCAGCTCCACGGTGTGCGGGGGCCCAGCCACTCCTCCGTGCTTATCACCTTTTTTGCTTCACCCTGGGCTTCCTGTTGTGGCTTCGTCTCAGTCCTGTGACACCAAGGCCCCATGACGCTGACCCCAAAGATGCTGCTGCTGCTGCTGCCCCTGCTCTGGGCGGATCACAGGGCCAAGGACAAAAATGGTGATGGGGCAGGGGCTGCAGCTAAGTCTGCAAGTTCCCTCGTTCCGAATCCAGGACACCGGCTGATGGTGCAGGAGTCCATGACTGTGCCGGAGGGCGTGTGCATCAGTGTGCCCTGTGGCTTCTCCTACCCCAGGGAAGGCTGGAACAACTTCACCCCAGCTCACAGCTACTGGTTCCAGGAAGGAGCCAATACAAACCAAGATGCTCCAGTGGCCACAAACAAGCCAGATTGCAAAGTGCAGGAGGAAACGCAGGGCCGATTTCACCTCCTCAGGGACCCTCGGATTTACAACTGCTCCCTGGACATCAGAAATGCACAGAATATGGACACAGGGATATACTTCTTTAGGGTGGAGAGAGGGGTCTGTGAATGTGACGAGTAAGGAATGGGGTCAAGGAGAGGACACACGAATGTGTTTTGAGGGCTCCCAGGGCAGGGCTGGGCTGGGACAACCTGCTTCTCATCTCATCTCAGGGAGGACCCATGGGGACACAGTGGGAGAGGATGCTGTGGTTGGCCTGAAGCAGAGGCCACTCTTGGGGGCCACACTCGGGGACCCCATCTCTAGGGCCTAGGTCTCTGTATTTTCTCCAGCACTGACGTCCACATCCAGTGTACCCTAGAATCTGGGTACCCCAAGAACATTAGCTGCATGGTGCCATGGGCCTGTGAGAGAGGGACGCCCCCCATCACCTCTTGGATTAGGGTCAACCTCACCTTTCTGGGTCCCAGGAATCCCCACTCCTCAGTGGTCACCCTCACTCCGGGGCCCCAGGATCACGGCACCAACCTCACCTATTGAGGGACATTCCCTGGAGCAAACGTGAGGACTGAGAGGACCATCCAGCTGCACGTGTCCCTGAGTGCCCCACCCGGACACCAGGTCCCTGAGGGTAGAGGGTGTTGGGGAGGAGAAGTCAGGGCCTGAAATAGTGGGTGCTGGGCCCTGCAATTCAGGGCTGGGGAAGGAGGAAAGAGAACACTCAATTTCACCCTCTTCCTATTTCTAAAGTTTCTGGGGGGAAATGGCCAAGAGCCACTGAAAAGGGAAAAGTTTTGTATGTCTGTCTGTACAGATGCACCCCAGAACCTGACCATCAGCATGTTCTGGAAAGAAGGCACAGGTAGGGTGCAACAGTTTTCTCCAGTGTGTGCTGGAAGTGGGGTTTGCCTCCACTCTTCAGAGCAGAGCTGGGGTTTCACAAATCAGATGGGAGAAAGGCTCCGGCCTGGAGTGAGGACAGCAGACATTGGACTCCCTCCTCTCACTCTTCCTCTGATAAAAAGCTGGCCTCCTCCCACCCCTGACCTTGCTGTCACAGGGAATTGCATGGCCCCCATGGCCGATGGATGTGGCTGTCGCCAGTGCCGGGGTTAGTCACTTCCTCATGCCAGATTTTGCTCTCATTCTCCTCAGGATCTGGACCCTGCTTACTCCTCCAGTTTTCTGTGATAATTGTAATGTTATATTTAAATAGTAAGCATAAAATTGTGTTTTAGTCTTCTCAAGCTGCCATAACAAAATACAGACTGGGTGGCTTAGACAGCAGGAATTTATTTCTCACAGCCTGGAGGCTGTACATCCAAGATCTGGGTGCCCACTGATTAGGTTCCTGGTGAGGACTCTTCCTGGCTTGTACACAGCCGCCTTCTGGCTGTGTCCTCACATGGTGGAGAGAGATCTCTCTGGTGTCCCTTCTTATAAGGGCCCTAATGCCATCATGAGGGTCCCACTCGCATGAATTTAACTGTAATCACCTCCCAAAGGTCCATTCAAAACCTCCAAATACCATCACATTGTGGGTTTAGGGCTTCAACACATAAATTGGAGGGGAACACAATTCAGTTCCTAGTAAAGTTTACTAAGAAGAAAATAGTATTCAATACATTGTGTACCTCCCCTCTTGGTTATCTTTCAAAAAATAATCTATACATATACATTAAAAATGCACACTTATATACATACCATTTTATGCACAGTGGTCTGAGTCTTTTTTTTTAAAACTTTTCATTGTGGTGTAATTCAAATTTACACAGTACAGAATTTCCATAAATTCCTCATCCAGCTTCCCTCATCATTAGAGGCTTCCATCACCATGGCGCATTTGTCATAATTAAGAAAGTGACATTGGTACATTACTATGAAGTAAACCTCCCTTTTTCTTAAACTTAGTATATCTTGTAGGTCTTCCTTGATCTGTATTTAGGAAACCTTCTTTATTTTTATTGAGGACTCTATGATTTCCCAACTGGATATATATTTATCCTATAAAATACTTAATTTTATAATTAAGTATAATTAAGTATAAGATTCCTATTGGTGAAAAACTGTGGTGTTTTCAGTTTTTAGCCACTTGATACCGACTGGAGCTGTCAGTGAGAGCTGAATATGAGGAGACGGCTCCAGACTGGAGACGTGAACATGCACAGCCAGTGTAGGTGATGACGCCTGATGAAGTCAGAAGAGGTCTGATGGCACATGGAGGAGAGAAGGCACAGGCAACATGCTGTCACTGGTGATGCTGACAACAGTCATTTCATGGTTGGTGAGAAAGATGTGAAGATGTGACTGAGCTGATTAGAGAGATCCCGGAGGACGGGGATTGGAAGGGTGGTTACAGATGAGCTTTTGAGGAATGTGGCTGCAAAGAGGGACAGAGGAATGGGTCTGGTGAAGGGGGACTTGCTCTGGTGCTTCTCTGCGTCCCCCAGCTGTGCTCACTGAATCCCCACCTGCACTGGTTTCCTGGAGCCACTGTAACAAATGACCAGATGCTCAGTGTCTTGAAAAAAGGAAATTTATTTCCTCAGCTCTGGGGGCCAGAAATCTGCTTAGGGAGGGAAAGTATCTGCTCCCTCTGCCCTTCCACATTCTCTACTGGGACCTTTGCAACAAAGAAAGATTAGGGGCCACATCTTGGGGTAACATGTCCTGAACCCCATCCTCTGAAACCTGGTTACTGGCAGCGGTCAGGGTGTTGTCTATGATACACTCACTCCAGAATCCATACCTTGTTTCCTCCAGGTGATGTGGCTGCCGGCTCTCTCTGGCTTGTGGCTGCATGACTGCTCTGTCTCTATGGTCACATTGCCTCATCCTGCTCTGTGTCACCACTGCCTCTCTCTTAAAGGACACCTGTGACTATATTCAGGGACCAAAACTGATAGTTTAGGAAGATCTCCACATCAAGATCCTTACCTTAATCCCATCTCTACACACCCCTTTTCCTTATCAGGCAACATTTGCAGGTACCGGGACTAAGACCTGGATATCTTTGGGTGGCCATTATTCAGCCCACTGGACTGCTCATGTGAACTTTTGCCCCCTGAATGACCCATCTGGCCTCCAGATCTTGTTTACTCTGCTCTTTCATGTCCAGATAATTCGTGTGTCACCTCATGAATGACACATGTTTTAGGGAATGGTAGCTTGCTGTTCTGTAACAGCCAATATTAAGACAGCTACAAGTAAAATTTAAATCTGGGAGAAAAAAATTTACAAATATATACTCGATGAATGACTTGTATTCAAATATATCAAGCACTCTCAAACAAAACAGTAGTAAATAAACAAGGAAATGAAACCAATTGTGTAAAAAAAATTTGCTTAAAAACACCCTCAGTCAGCAACAAAAACCGCACAGCCCTATTTAAAAATTGACAAAGGACCTTCACTAGACATTTCCCTGAACTTATGCAAAAAGAAAATACATGAGAATATGCAAAACATCACTAATATTAGGGAAATGCAAATTACAGCCATACAATGAGGTTCACCCTCCATTATTACATAAATGGTTATGATTAACCAAAAACAAAACTAAAACGGGAAATATCAAATGTTGGTGACATTGTGAAGGAAGTGGAACTATATGCTTTGCTGTTAAGGTTACAAAACTGTGCATCTACTTCAAGGTTACTCAAAACATTAAACATAGAATTACTAGGTGATCCACTAATTTCACTTTGGGATGTAACCCCAAAAATAGGAAGCAAGAACTTAAATAGGTATGTATACATCTCTATTCAAAGCAGCATGATTCACAAGCTACAAGGTAATTGCAACCTAAGGGTCCATTAACAGAGGAACGCAAGGACTAAATGTGGTGAACACATACAATGGAATATTATTCAGCCTTTAAATGAAGCGAATTCTGATAAACGTTACAATACGAATCGAAGACGCTATGAGCAGTGCAACAAGCCAGTCTGAAAAGGACAAATTCTATATGATTCCACTTATATGAAGTCCCTAGAGGAGGCAAATTAATTGGCACTGAAAGTAGAATGGTGGTTGCCTGGGTCTGGCCCAGCGAGATGCACGGTTATTCTTTTCCTGGGCACAGAATTTGGATGAAATGAAAAAAGTCGTGGAGAAGGATGGTGGTGATGGTCGCACAACAATGTGACTATACTGAGTGCCTCAGACCCAGACAATTAAAATGGTTAAAACAGTAAAGTTTTCATTATGTATATTTTACCATAATATTGAAAAAGGGATCCAAGGATTTAATCAGCAGATTCACCAAAGAAGAAAAATAATGGCAACTAATCACATGAAAACGTGCTCTACACAACTTATTAAGAAATTACAGATTAAAACCATGATGAGATACAATGGAATACTACTGAGTAATAAGATATTAAAAACTACAGGTACATACAACGTGGATTAATTTCCAAAGTATTGTGCTGAGTGAGAAAATATAGACACAGATGAGTACATTTCTAGAACTTCCCCTATAAACAGAATTAATTCACCATGATGGTGAGTGTGTCAGTGCTTACCTGGGGCTGGAGGTGGGTGTGATGAATCACAAAGGTTTGTGGATAGCTCTTTTGGATGGTGGAAATATTTTATATCCTGATTGTGGAGGTCTACATTTGTTAAATTCACAGAAATGCATATTTCAGGTGGGTATATTTTATTTTATGTAAATTATAAAATTCTTTAAAGACACACAGTGAGAAGTCACAGAAGCGTCCCATATTTGAACATAGTATATCTTTCTTTACTATAAACCCAATGGTGTTGGGCCTTCTATTATGTGCTACATTCTTAATTTATTTTTTAACAACCTAGAGCAAGATATCCTTTTGCTTATGGTAGACTCATTTCCTTATACATCAAATAGGGGTGCAAAAATCTGTCTATGCTAGTAAGACTGAAGGACCATGTATCCAGACACTACTGTGTTTGAAAGATTTTACAAATATATCATGGCAAATACTTTTGTCACTGGGCTCAAGAAATTGCCCACTGAATACTACACACAGTGAGATGGAAAACCACGTTAGCTGAACCCAAAATCGTAATTGCTGCCTCATATTCCAGTCAGGTTTTCCAGA